CATTTAACATATTAGGGTTAATCACAGTCTGGGAAATATACAAATGAAGCTTGTGGTCCTTGCTGCATAGAAAAGCCAATTAGGGCTTGTTCTCACCTAAGTAAAAATAAATCATAATCATCTTTTCGCACAAGACAAATATGCTCATTTTTAAAACTGAACTTCCCTCCTCAACAATTCCCACACCACACACAAGCAAGAGCATCCCCCATGGGCTACCTCACCGAGATGTGCATAAATGTTGGCCGCAAAGTAGCTATAACACAAGAAAACCAATGTAGGTGCTAGCCAAAACTAATCATTACTTTAAAATGAAATATGAGGTTAAGAGCTTCTCTCCTTTATGTACATGGATAACAGATTACAGAACAATAAACCTAAGTGACCCCTATGTTTTCAGGTAAGCAACTTCCTATATATTATATATAACAAGCATATTCTGCAATCCTCTTACTTGTGGGTGAGGGTCAGGATCAATGTTTGGGCCAGTTAGTATGGGGAGAGGGTTCACTGGGAAGAGGGAGTGTTAAACCAGTTTAAATGCATGGTATAGATAGATAAGGGATGCGGGTGGTGCTGTGGTCTAAACCACCAAACCCAGGGCTTGCCGATTGTAAGGTTGGCGGTTCAAATCCCCACAACGGGGTGAGCGTCCATTGCTTGGTCCCAGCTCCTGCCAACCTAGCAGTTTGAAAGCATGTCAAAGTGCAATGAGATGAATAGGTACTGCTTCGGCAGGAAGGCAAACAGTGTTTCCGTGTGCTGCTCTGGTTTCGCCAGAAGTGGCTTAGTCATGCTGGCCACATGACCCAGAAAAACTGTCTGTAGACAAATGTCTGCTCCCTCAGCCAGAAAAGTGAGATGAGCGCCACAACCCCAGAGTCGTTCGCGCCTGGACTTAACTGTCAGGGGTCCTTTACCTTTACCTTTTTATAGATAGATAATGCAGCCTACAACTTCACAAAGTTAGTAAAATCTGCTCTAGCTTGATCACTTGTTTCTGCTACAGTCTCTTTTGAAAATGCACACACACAAACACATTTCCTCCTCCTCCTCCTCAATACAATTATGAAATTTTCTAGAGCCAGACTTTTCTGACTCAAGTGACAAAGATGGTACCTAGCAATCTAGATTAAGAAGAGAAGGCAAAACTGTAAGGGAGCCAGGGGGTGAGAAGAATATAATATTCATATCCCACCTTTCCTCCAATGAGATCACAAAAGTGTGTATGTGGCCCTTTCTACCACCACCATCCATTTTATCCTCACAACAACCCTGTGAATTGGGCTGATAGTTGGTGACTACTCCAAAGTAACCAAGTGGGGATTTGAATTCAGGTCTCGCCAGCCCTAGTCTGACAAGGGGTCTAAGCCCTAGTCTAAGTCAGGGGTCAGCAAACTTTTTCAGCAGGGGGCTGGTCTACTGTCTCTCAGACCTTGTGGGGGGCTGGACTATATTTTGGAGAGAGAAAAGAATGAATTCCTATGCCCCACAAATAACCCAGAGGTGCATTTTAAATAAAAGGACACATTCTACTCATGTAAAAACACGCTGATTCCCAGACCATCCGCGGGCCGGATTTAGAAGGCGATTGGGCCGGATCTGGCCCCTGAGCCTTAGTTTGTCTACCCACGGTCTAAGTACTGCACCACACCAGCTCTCAACATAGCCACAGTTCCCTATTCTGTTGGTAACAGAGTCAGGGCAAAAAGAAGAAGGACGTTTCTTGTCTCTTTCAAATATGGAGTCTTCGACCAGAACTCTCCCTGCATGGTGCTGGAATTAACTTCCTTTACAGCATAGGTGCACTCAGGGAGGGTAGAGGGCAGAAAAACAAGAAGTGTGTCTCCACTTTGACAACTCCCCACTTCAGAGTCACAGACATACCAAGCATGGGCTATATAAGAATCCCAAAGGAGCCCAGATTCCTTCAGTTTGCTGCAACTTGGAAGCTATTCACAGAAGGTCGTGGATGGATCTTTCTGACTTGTATTTTAATTATCCTGTTTTCCCAAGATAAGGATCATGTTCAGTAGCTCTATCATGCAACTCTCATTCATGTGGGTTACATTTGTATTTTACACAGGCTTTCGAGTGTCAATTCCCTGTACTTAATGGACACTTAACGTGCTACGGATTATTTTTTGGTAACACTTTATTTCAGATTTCCCATCATTATGAATTCATTTAGCACTGGAAGTAATAGCCCCGCTCCTAATGAATTCATCTGGTATTAATATGGCTTTCACAAGTGTGTCCATAGGTGCCCGAATGCAATTTAGCATTAGTTAAGCGAGAGTTAATGGATACTTAAAGTGCCACTTATTTTCTAAGTGGTCCATAAAAAGGGAGACAAAAGCCTGCCTGCATATTACTCTCAAGATGTAATATGTCGATTTCTGAGGTAAAAGTAGAAGCCAGTCTGAACATAAAAACATTGGATGCTGCGCTGTGGATAAGGGCAAGGTCCATCTAGTCCATGGCTGAAGAAACTTCCGTTGACCAGTTGATGTTAAATTCCAACTCAAGTCAGCATGGCCAATGGCCAGAGAGGAAAGGAGTTGAAGTCTAATAATAGGAAGCACTGATTACTTTAAGATGTGGGAGAACCTCAGCCCATGAGCCAAATTTGGGCTTGCATGGGTTCCAGTTTGGCCCACAAGGCCATTTCCCCCAAACCACACCTACCTACTTCACATTCCCCCCCCATATAATGTCCTTTATATGTTATTTTCACTGATACATGCATTTATCTGCACACTTTACCCTATTATGTGCAGTTCTGCACACATTACCTAGTTGGAAAAGTGCACTGCAAAATTCAGAGAAGGGTGAATTTTGAAAGATGGGTTGTGTTGTGCTCAGTTCCTATATTGTTCCAGGAGTGTGAATTAGGTAATTTTACTTTTAAATGCAAACTGAATCAGATTTCTCCCCCATCCCTACTCAAAGTACTGTTTATGACTACTGTGTTTTGGACAATACTTTATGAAAGAATCAAGAGATGGGCAATAGTTTTTGGGGGGGCAGAACCAAAGTGATTTGGCAGAGGCATTGCTTCCCATAGTAAACACTCATCTCTCTGTTGCCCTGCTGTTACCTCTGGTTAATCAGGTTTTGCAGGCTTTTGAAACAAGAATAAAACCTACAAAATCTGTTTACTAGTGGCCAAAGTGGGATAAGAGCACAATGAGCAGTGGTCAGCCTTCAGCTTTTTGATAAAACTACCAGCCTTCCTATAGTTAAAGCTATGGTTTTCCCAGCAGTGATGTATGGAAGTGAGAGCTGGACCATAAAGAAGGCTGATCGCCAAAGAATGGATGCTTTTGAATTATGGTGCTGGAGGAGACTCTTGAGAGTCCCATGGACTGCAAGAAAATCAAACCTATCCATTCTGAAGGAAATCAGCCCTGAGTGCTCACTGGAAGGACAGATCCTGAAGCTGAGGCTCCAATACTTTGGCCACCTCATGAGAAGAGAAGACTCCCTGGAAAAGACCCTAATGTTGGGAAAGATGGAGGGCACAAGAAGAAGGGGATGACAGAGGACAGGATGGTTGGACAGTGTTCTCGAAGCTACCAGCATGAGTTTGACCAAACTGCGGGAGGCAGTGGAAGACAGGAGTGCCTGGCGTGCTCTGGTCCATGGGGTCACAAAGAGTCAGACACGACTAAATGACTAAACAACAACACCAGCCTTCTCCAAACGGCTCGGTACTAGGGCAATGGCATCAGAAAGCTAGGAAATACTTCATAAGAGAAAGAAAGTACAGCAAACAATTAAGTCTTACCTTGTTGCTTTTTTTACTTTAACACAATAAGAGAACTTTTAAAGGTTCAGGTAATTATTCCTGGGAGATGATGACAGAGCAGTGAAAGTTGCTGCATGGGGAGCAGAGTAACAAGCGTTGAAACTCCTGACACAGACACGGTACAGATTGCATGACCAGCCAGCTCTTCCCACCTTTCAAGAAATCACATTGTTGTCAACATTTCAGCAGCCCAAAATTAGCTGAAGTATTCAGGAGTTGTTGGCAGCTAACAGCAGGCGAGTTCTCAGATGGATTGTATTTTCTCGTGGCGCTTAAAACCTCAAGCCTTGCAGCCGTTACAAACAGCCCAAACACCTGCAAGTATCAAGGCAGGCAGGCACCCATCCTGTCCCCCCACAAGAGGCAATTTAACAAATGAGATTCAAAGTCAAGGTCCTGATGACTTCTGAAAGTAAAGCATTTTTCATGGGGGATCTGAAGTTTCCTTGATTTCCAAGAGAAACCACAGATCATAATATTTCAGCTGCTTATCTGGCAGGTTCACAGACTTGATCTCCTTTTGGTGATCTAATATTCATATTTAATTATTTTGCATAGCCATGCTACTACAGCAGGGGATTTGACACTGTAAGCTGACGGTCTAGTTAAATAAGGTGGACACGGATAGATTTGACTTACAATCTTTTTCTAATCATTCCCTATACAAAACTTTATAGGCTAACAGTTTATCAGGTGCAACAGGGCCACCCAAAAACAAGGTAGTGGTTTCTAGGTATGCAAAAATATACCTGACACCTCCTATCTCAAAGCAATTAATTAACAAAGTCATAATCATCACTGTTGGTAGCTGTGTAAAGGTAAAGGGACCCCTGACCATTAGGTCCAGTCGTGATCTACTCTGGGGTTGCGGCACTCATCTCGCTTTACTGGCCGAGGGAACCGGCGTACAGCTTCCGGGTCATGTGGCCAGCATGACTAAGCTGCTTCTGACGAACCAGAGCAGCGCACGGGAACACCGTATACCTTTCCGCCGGAGCAGTACCTATTTATCTACTTGCACTTTGACGTGCTTTCGAACTGCTAGGTTGGCAGGAGCAGGGACCGTGCAACGGGAGCTCACCCCGTCACGGGGATTCGAACCACCAACCTTCTGATCGGCCAGTCCTAGGCTCTGTGGTTTAACCCACAGCGCGACCCGTGACCCTTGGTAGCTGTGTATGACAGGGTAAAAGTAAGAATTCCTGACCGATAGTGCTTTAGGAAAACAAAATTTGTTTGGGAATTTTTATTTATTTATTTATTTATTGAATGTTTTAGTGGCTCAATGCTTAAGGAGTCTCCAAGCAACTTACAAAAGGAAGTATGGCACAATCAGGAAAAAGAATAGCAGAAGCCATGCAATAACCCATAAAACAAACCCAATAAACAGCAGCATAAGCATATATTTGATAGAAGGCAAAGTCTGAGGAAAGACTGCGTAGCTAGCAATGCCTCATAGGTAAATAAGGGGTTCTCATAGAATAATGGTAGACTCTAATTGGAAGAAACTACATTTCTGCCTTTCTCTGATATCAGAGAAGCAAAGTCTGTATACAAATGCTGCATTTCTGTGGGTGAGTTTTCCCCTTTTTGGCTTTGTATCGGACCCTGATTTCCATGTATCTTGTTGTCTCTGGCTTAATCATCATTAGACTCCGGACTTGCTGGTTTAGGCAGCCCTCCCTCACCCTAAGCCCCCTCCCCAGATAAGTATTTCTGCCAAGATTAAAGCAATTAAGGAATCCCGAAACAGGGGGCAATAAAATGTCTGAAGAGAACAACCCTCATTAGCAGCAGGGCATGACTTTCTGGGCCAATACTCTCCGTCTAGTATATTATTGTGCAGTTTGGGGAGTTAATACAGTTGCAATAAGGTGCGTTTGAATCCACAGCATAAAGCATGCATGCCAAGTCCGCAAGCCAGCAGAGCGGTACAGTAATGACCGGGAGGCCCAATCTGAGGGATCCTGCTGAAGTAGTCCTTGTTTGAAATAATAGCTCAGTGTTGCAGGCACCATTATAATTAGACTTGGAAAAGCATCTGCATTCCTTCCAAATTTAGTCTGTGATTGTTTAAGGAAAATTAACTGGAGTTATTTCGAGTAACAATGTAACTCTGTACTAGAGGCAGGCCATTCTCAGCAAATACTCACTTCCGGCATAGCAGAGACTCAGTTCTGGAGGCCTGCTAGCTGTGATTGGCTACATGAGTCATGTGGCATTATTTTGAATTCCCAGCATGGCCACTGCACACATTGTATACAGGTGGCTGTTTATATCATGAAACATGGCAGCCTTTTGCCCTGCACTGGTGTGCTCACTGGCTCAAATAGATCATTATCAATATCCCTAGTGCCCTATACTAGCCTGTCAACTCCTAGAAACTGTCAATTGCAGCTTATCTCAGTTTCCCATTTTTCCAATCTTAAAAGCATTTTTTCCATGTTACTGCAGCGGTTTACACTTCTTGTTGTTTAAAAAAGGAAATCCTCATGAAAATTTGTCAGCATTTTAGTGCAAATTTCTCTCACTGCCCATTTTTGTATGCCTTTTTTTTAGTAATATGCATATTTTTGCCAGTGCTTCTCCCAAACATAATGCATTGCCTTTTTGTATGCTGTTTCCACTAATATATGTACTTCTGAACACATTTCCCCCCCAATATCTGTAGTTTTATACACAATATTTGGTTGGTGAACTTAATTGCAAAATTCAAATGTCTGTGAATTTCAAAGGATAGTTGTGCTTTAGGAACATATGAGGCAGTTAGAGTTGCAGCAATAGAATCCCTGATTTGGATCCTGTGCAGAGTAGAAATAAAGGCTCCCCACCACAAGAAAAGTTTCAAAGCTTTGTTGAACTTAAAATTGTTCTGAAAAACTGTTACAAGATACAAAGTAACTCATTGCTTTTAATCAAGCAAGCAATGTGATCCCATCTTCTTTTTACTCCTTGATTTAGTACAAGAACTTTCTCATCTTCAGTCCCAAAGAGAGAAAGAGAGATCCTAAGGAAGTTGCTCATCCATCATTGCAGAGTGAAACCACTACTGCTTCTATTTCAAGCTCCGTTGCTGACAGAGACGCTGAAGTCTCAGGTTTCACCTTCCTATTGTGAGAGATCTAAAGCTCAGGTTTCCAGGATGAGTCATCGATGAGCTTAAAGACTGAAACGGAACATTCAACCTTTTCTGCCGCATTTGTCAGTGTGAAACCTCTCATGCCTAATACAAACTTTTCTACTTTGCAAATGCAAACCTTTACATAAGTTTTTTTTTCAAACCTCAGTGTATATAAACTTTACATGTTATGCATATGAAACATCTCTTTAACAGAAGCCACCTTATACCAAATCGAACTATTGGTCCATATAGCTCCATATTGTCCATACTGACTGGCATTTTCTCTCCAGGGATGCTTTCCTAGCCCTTCCTGGAAATGCTGAGGATTGAACCTTGGCCTTGCTGCATGCAAAGCAGTGCTCTACTGCTTAGCTACAGCTCTTCCTCAGTGATTTGAGTTCAGTAACTGGTTGCAGAAGTGCAAATTGGGTATTTTCTCTTCAAAATGCAAACAGAATCCCCCACCCCTGGCCTAAGTAAATGTGTTAGCCTCTCAAGTGCCACAAGATTCTTCACTGCTTTTGTTGCAAAAGATTAACACAGCTACTCCTTCCGGGAAATATCCATACATATGTGGATTTTAAAAAGAAACATGTCAGTATTCTCATCTTAACATAAGAGACACTACATATTTTGTATGCTAAGCTGGTATGTGTCACAGTGGTGGGTTCTGTCCTCATCATCTGTGGTCAAGAACATTGTAATCTTCCACTCATTGACTCTCTCCTGGCACCCCATTATTTTGGGCACATGGTTAAAGTCCCAGCCTGTGACTTGGTCTTCTGTGACAACAGCAGCCTTGGGTTAGTCCTCAGGGAGTCTTCTTCACCTCAGATGCTCTGTGCTTCTTTTCCACCTAAAGCAAGACAAACACATTTTAACACAGCATTTTCCGTTGTGGCCTCATGGTGGAAAAGATGTGGTGGAGGCAGGTCAGGGGGGGGCAGTAGGGAAGCTGTTTCCCATGTGTTCTCAAGAGTGACACCGCCATTTAAATATATACATAACTCGGGATTTCATCATTTATTCATAAGGCTATTTCTAATCTAATTCTTTGCATATTATCCAGGGGCAAGAGAAGTCACATAGCAAGGAGCGGGCCATTTCTGGCCCCCGCCTTTTCTTCTCAATACAGAATTGCCACATGGAGAACCGCTGATTAATATGCAAAACACCGGCCGCAAATAGGTTCATAAATAAATGATAAACTATAGCGGCTGCTTTATTTACCTATGGACTTACAGACTGCGGAACCCTGATTAAATCAGAATTGCTGTTTGGAGCCGACTATGGGGCTTAACGGCAGTAATTCTCAAAGCGAAAGGTTGGCTTCCTTAGTGAGGTGCATGGAAGTTCCCCAGGATGCGCATGCTTTCCCCAAATTGCCCTCTGGCATGGGTGAACAAATGCAAAACAACCTCCTCAATAGTAAATCATTGAATACACATATGTCTGAGGTGGTTCCAGGGCCAAATGTTAGTTATAGCAAGCAGCAGTTGGTTTGTTGCTTTATATCTCACCTCTTTCTCTAAGGCAGGCGTAGGCAAACTCGGCCCTCCAGATGTTTTGAGACTACAATTCCCATCATCCCTGACCACTGGTCCTGCTAGCTAGGGATGATGGGGTTGTAGTCCCAAAACATCTGGAGGGCCGAGTTTGCCTATGCCTGCTCTAAGGAGCTCGAGGTGGCATATTTGGTTCTCCCCACCCACCTTATTTATTCCCCACAACAACCCTGTGAGGTTGTTAGGCTGAGAGACTGTGGATAGTCTGAGAGACTGTGACTGTGGTCAGGCTGAGAGACTTTAACTGGCCGAACGTCACCTTTATGACTGAGTGGGGATCTGAACCCTGACCTTCTGGGTCTTCATTTACCACTCTAACCACTACACCACACACTTAAATCATCTGCTTTCATTCTGAAGGGGGGATTTGTATTCGGAGACCATGGCAATCTCCAGCCAAGCATCACACAGATTTCTGGAAGTTACTTGCCCTGCAAAAGTATTGTTTACTGCACCCTGCCACAGAGGTGGTTTTCAGTGGGAAACTGGCACATGCTCCCAGATTTGGGTTGGGAGCATATTCTGGATTGGGGCTCACAACTGTGCACCCCCTGAAAAAAAAAACTTCTGGCTTAGGCATGCCTTTTCAAAAACCCTATTATCATCACATGTTGTTTTGCCCTCAGTAGTTACTTTGCTGAGCAGTGGTGAAATCGGCGGGTCCACTCTGGCGAAGAGTGAATATTCCAATTTGGCTTTCTAATTTTTCCAACCTTAAGTTCATTTCTACACCAGTTTTCGAATTTTCTTCAAAAAGTCATCACAAACATGCCTCAGGATTTTAGCGCAAATTTTTCCTAATGGACACATTTTCATAAGCAGGTTCCCTCAGTATACATATTTATGTAAAACATTTTCCTGGCACAAAATGTAACGTGAGAGACTTCCGGGTTGACGCGATCTGGAAATGGCGGATTCCCTCCGAGCTCCGGAGGGAATCGGCTCCACTGAGGATGGGTCTTTGCCGCGCCGGCGACGCGGGGACCCTTAAACCGCAGGCGCTGAAGCCTGCGGACTGAAGACTCGGCGGGTGCCTTAAGCGCCCCCCCTGATTCGCAAAGAGCCTTTTTAAAGGCTGCGGAGGGGATACGGGGGTGGCGTGGCACTGAGAGTCGATCGCTACCTCGGTGGAGCGAAGCCGCGAGCCATGACCGGAGAGCGTTGACTTCCTTCCTTGAAAATTTGGACTGAAAGAATCACCCGTGAGTAAGACGGATTGGGACTTTTGAAAAACTTTACCTTTAATTGGAGACGACCGGGGGGTGTGCTAAAAGGAAGTCCGCACCCCCCCCTTGCAGACCATCTAAGCAACGACACAAGAGATAAGCTGGAGAGCCTACCCTTGGTGGGGTGAGTTAAAAAGGACACTAACTTTCAAGATTTTATTAAAGGAAAATTTTGTGCAGGAGAGTGGAGTTTTGGAAACCTTCCTTCTGTTTTAAACAACCCCCCCGCCCGGGCTCGGGAACGTCCTGCCTTCGTGCCTGCGTTAGAGCTGCGGAGTTTGACAGCTGTCAAAGCTGCCAAACGGGCGGTTTAAAGTGAGAAATTGCCATTTAAGATTTTTATGGACTAAGACGAGTTATAATTGAGCTGAAACTGTTGGAAACAAAGTAATAATAATCAGTTTAAGGATTGTTGGTGAAAAGGCAAATAAGTAACCAGATTCCCCCTAGGGGGAACTCTGTGAAACTACAATGGATACAATGGCTGTGGAAGGAAAGTTACTAGTGGAAATCGAAAGGATGTTTCAATTGGTGGGAATCTTACAGGAGCAGAGTTTGGCCATGAACAAACAACTTGAGACTATGACCTTGGGAACAGGCAACTCTGCTCTTTGTATTGAGGACCTCAATGAGAAAGAATCCACAGCTGATTGGGAAACAATATCTACAGAGCTGGAAGAGACTAAACAACAAGAAAAAGAAGAAGTAATCCTGGGAAGTAACAACCAAAAGTTGACATCTGTGGAATACAAGCAAGGAGACGCTGGGAACATATTCACCACAAGTCTGCGAGAGATACAGAAGAAGAAGGAGGAGGCCCCAAGACAAAATGGAGTACAGGAATTTAAAATAAAGAAATATGATTGGGGCCTCCGTTTGGACTTAGACTTGGAAGAGATAGACTTTGTGGAAATACTTCAGCAGCCACCTTTGAATCTTCTTGTTGGAAGAGGACATATTTTGATGGTGAAAGAACTTTTCCCAGATCTGACGACTGCTGTAAAGGACTACCAACAGGACAGGCGGAGAGGAACGGAAATAGATTTGAAAGCCTCGGACGTGAGGAACCCAGGCTGAGAACTTCGAATTTGGATTTTTATTGGGAAGGGACAAAAACCGGGGATGGGAGGGAGGGAAGAAGAGACTCTTAAAAACTCTTAAGACTTTTAGGTTTGGTTAAGATGACTCTTAATTAAGATAAAATGAAAATCGATGGAAGAGAACTTAAGTCCAACTTATGAAAACTAATTTTTATTATAAAAAAAGGAAATAAGATGAATAAGATTGTTAAGAGGAGAAATATCAACTTGCTGACATAATCTTGAAACAGGGATGCATTAGGGGGGGTGGGGGGAAGTCAGGGAACAAGGTTATGAAATGGGGATTTGCTGACTTTATACATGTTTTTGTCTTTGTTTTTTCTTTGTGTATGTTTTGTCTTTATAAAAGCAGAAAACCAAATAAAAATTTTATTAAAAAAAAACAAAATGTAACGTGAGCAGCAGTCTCATCACCTTCTTTAACTGATCTCCATAAGCTTTCAGACCCAAAGTTCAAAATGTTTCTGAGGGGATCTTGTTGGTTTAAAAATACATCCTGTTGGATGTTTCCTTGCCAAAAATTACAGTACTCTTCTTTGGAAATTGATTCAGAGACTGTGAACCCTTCTCGCTTCCTTCAAATAAAGGGGAGGGAGGGAAACCCTTCGAGCATTTTTCATATGGCAAATCTGTGCTGCCAACTCAGGTTTCACAGCTGAACACTCCCAAGGTACTAGTTCTGCAATTCAGGGCTTGGCTGCTCTCCCTTGTGCATGATGGATAGCTATAAAATGAAGGCACTTTGAAAAGTACCAGCTGTCCAGGTACACGCTCTGGTTTAGGCTGGCTGAGCAATACTCCCTCTATCTTTGCACTTCTCTCTCTCTCTCCCTCCTTTTTAAACATATTGCACAATGAATTTGCAAGCTCAGGTGTATGCTGGAAAGTTTTCCATGAACTCTCAAGGAGTCCAATCTCTGTGTGGGAGCAGGGCTTTTTCTTCCTTAACCTCCACTGCCTCCATAGCAAGACTTCGCCTTCCTGCTTTCCAGATGTGTGGATTCAGTTCTCATTTCCAGGTACAGTGGTACGTCGGGTTAAGTACTTAATTCGTTCCGGAGGTCCATACTTAACCTGAAACTGTTCTTAATCTGAAGCATCACTTTAGCTAATGGGGCCTCCCGCTGCTGGAGCACCGCTGGAGCACATTTTCTATTCTCATCCTGAAGCAAAGTTCTTAACCCGAGGTATTATTTCTGGGTTAGTGGAGTCTGTTACCTGAAGCGTATGTAACCTGAAGCGTATGTAACCCAAGGTACCACTGTACAGTGTCTTCACATGTTTGCTCACCAAGCCAGGGTCTGTTGCAGTAATAATGATGATGATGATGATGATGATGATGATGATGATGATAATTTAAAAAGTAACTGCAAAATAAAGCTGTCAGGTTGCAATCCAGAGATTTCCCCTCTACCACCATTACTATACTGGATATATGGGTTATTCCTTCACTCCCATTCATCAAGCATTTTCACTTCCAGTAGGGAGGATGTTTTTCTTAAAGTAAAAAATCCAGGTGCTGCTGGAGGATTCCCAAATCAGCCATCTTTGGTGTTTGCTAACTTTTTCACTTCCTCCCCGCCTTTCAAATTTAGGCTTAAATGAAAATTTTAAATGAAAACTAAACTCTTTTTTAATTGTATTTTTTATTGTATTACAGCTATGTAAAGCAGCTTAATCAGTAGTTGTGGGGGTCTATGAAAACTGCTATATTATTAATAGTATCAGCACCATCAAATATATAAAATATTTGTGATGCTGCTCAGTTCATCTGATTTCACTAATCCAGAGTTCCAATTAAAAACAGTCGCTAGCCTAAGGCAATGATTCCCAGTACATTAGTACAATGGGGATATTTACAGCTCCGCTGAGAATAGTCCCCCAGCATTTGTTCTGTAAATGAACATTGACAGAAAGGTCTTGCCCTTACTTATGAGCATTGATGTGCCAATTTCTGGATTTACA